CGACTGCGTTCCACGGATGGAACGCAAAAAAATGGAACCGGAAGCGGAACGGAAAACCTAAATGAATGCCAATCAAGGACGGCAAAAAAGACAGCCAAAGGGGTGTTATTTAAAACGGACCTTCAAGCAACACAAACTAGCAACTGAGTAAGCCTCTAAACGGGGCGAAACGCGTCTTGCACCTTACATAAGGATTAACCTTCGAGATTGTAAGGTTTTTTTTATTTATTTCATTATATTTTATGTATATTTTGTGCACTTTACAATAAAGCACTTTATTCCTGCTACCTACTGAGAGGACATCCTATCATTTGGAAACTCCTGCCAGTAACAAGAAGGAAGTGGGTCCCTTTAGTACCCACAAGGCTGAATTTTTGAGCCTTTGTATTGGCTCTCTGTTTGTGAGTCTTTTACCTATTATATATTGCACTGAAATATTGAGATTTGGCTATATTGCACTATTTCTCCTTATTTATGTCCTAACTCTAGGGAGAACAACTTAAGGAAAACTTCATTCATGTAAAGATATTTCATCTCTCATTGGAAGAATAAATTTTTCATGTTAAGATACTCCACCTTTTATTGTATGTATATTTCTGGTTTTTTTCTGGGGTTAAAGGGAAAACCCACTAAGGTGTTAGAGCATCTGTTACTATTGGCGTCACTCACTGGGATATTGTTACACAGTGTTTTCTATTAAAAAGATCTTAGTCCGCAATCATAAAAAAAAGATTTGAGACCAGCAGTTTTTTTTGGATGTGGGGTCTGTTTGGCGTGCAGGAATACTCATAGCACAAAGAGACACATAACCAATTTTCAAGGAATTGATTACATGTCACACCAAAAATGTGGCTTATGCCCTTAGATGTCCCTGTAACCTTATGTATATAGGAAGAACTAAACGCCCCCTCCACACAAGAATTGTGGAGCATACACGGAACATCAAAAAGGGATATGAGAAACATAATGTGTCTTTACACTACAAAATACATCACAACGCATGGTCATTGGAATTTTTTGGGATCCAGAAAGTGTGCACCAATTGGAGGGGAGGCGATATAGTCAAAGATTTGGGTAAAGCCGAGATGAGATGGATTTTTAATTTGGACACTATTACCCCCCCATGGATTAAATGTGGATTTTGAATGATGCCACTTTTTATGAAAATTTTATATGTTTTAATACATTTTAGAATTTTTCTATATTATATAACATTTTCTTCCTTTTTTATTTTCTTTCTTTTTTAAGTTGTACACCTCATTCTCCAGAATATTCACTAAATAAGTGAAAATTCTGGGACCAAAAAACCTTTTACTATAAAACCGATATGATATGGATTAGTTTAACTAAAATAACAAAATGTGTTCCTTGTTTGGAAAAAAAGCAAGGTATTATATCAACATATTCTGTTCTTTTCCCTTTTCTGTATTTTAATGATGTTTCTGATTATATATGTCCTTAATGAATTACTCTGGATCACATTTTTCCCCTTGTCTTTTGTTTTTTCTGCCCCAACTTATGTTTTTTATAATGTATGTACTCATCCTGAATTCCATATTTAATTTGTGATAATGTATGGCGCTATATGAACGCAAAGGACGATGGGGATTTTGGTGGTGTCTCTCCCATTAGCACGAACAGGGAGATGTGAACGAAAGCTCAGTGATGTCACTTCCGCCATTTGTACGGACGAACAGGAGAGTACATAGCTGAAGGACTTAACCTGAATCACCATTTCCGGCGTTCGTACAGACAGACGTAAGATCATCTACAACAGCTGAACAGCCTCACTCCCCTTGCCGAATGAGCAATCTATTGGACAAACAGAGGAGGAACATCCCCTTATAACCAACAACAAGATGGATACAGAACATGCCGATTGAGAAAGCCTGCACAGTGGGCGAAACACGTCTCAGATACCAGGAGGGCTTTGTAATTGTATGCATATATATTTATTTTATCTTCCCAGTGGAGTATTTTTTACATTTACTTTGTAATATAATAAAGTTTAAATTTATAATTAAGTCTTCTTGGACTTAATTCAATATCCATCTACATCCAAAGGGGGTTTCTTGCCACTCCATATTCTGGCAAGTAGGTGCACAAACTTGGAGAAAGTATTTTATGGGCTCCAAAATCAGGTGAGCAAGTTCACTTTCAACTATTAAGTTGTGAACCCTCTGCACTATTTCTCTTGCACTTCATCTGCACTATTTCCAACCACCTGCACTATTTCTCCAACCACCTGCACTTTGTGTTTCCTATATGTGTATACTGCACTAGGCACAGCAAGCGAATACGTTCAGAGCCATAGCGTTGAAAAGACTCTCGACTTGTGAGCATCCATTTTTTTACTTTCCACTGTCTATAGCACTATTCACAAGCGATATTGCACCATTATGTATTTCTCTGTATTTTGTTTTCTCTGTCATATATATGAGAAACGTCTCATGCTGTATGGGGAAGCCTTTTGAGCTTCTTTAGCGCTGCACTATACTCTGCTGTGTGTGACTAGGGTAATATCACCTAAACCTGTTTTTTACACATTCAGTGTTCCTTTTCTCATTACTGTTTTTCTGGGTAAAGAGGAGAACCCAAAGAGTGCTATAGCTGCGAATAGATAAATATATATTTTTTTCTTTCTTCTATATATTAAGCACCGAAATATCACACAAACCATTCCTTTTTGTATTAACATGCAACATTACTTACATTTCGGTACTGCGGTCTATACTCCCGTGTAGGAGAAATTGCAGACCTTATGATCCCGACATGCCATCTCGGTAATAGGCTACGCTTTCACATTTTCTGAGCTATTGTTTTTGTTTATCTTACCCACTTTTCTTTTAATGTTCGCTCTCCATTAGAGTTGAGTGAGCCCGGACTGTAAAGTTCGGGTTCGTACCGAACATTGCGTTTTTTGGACCCCGGACCCAAACACGGACATAGATCACACGAAAAAAGACAGACATCTGGAAGTTTAGAGCCTTACAACTGTAAAAGGCTCTTGAAAATGTGAGTTTATCTAAACTTATAACTCACATAAAAAAGAATGTTTTTGTTCTGATATACTGCACTATCATTTGTATATTCTCTGTTTTTCTCTCTATATGTAACAAGAAAACACAAGTGTAATATAGAGGGTAAGTGCCTTTAAAGCACTATATACACGGATTCACTCACTCTTTATATTTATACCTAGCGCTACACTCGTGAGAACTAAGGGTTTAAAGGGTATAAACACCTGCCTAATCTAAAGTTTCTCTGTTGTTTTTGGTGATCATTAAAATTCAATAATCAATGAAAAAATACACTGTCATACAAAAATATGTATTATAGACAAGTTAAAAACAAGACTACAAGTCATGCTATAACAAAATTAAACAAGTTTTAAAATATGTATGGGCCAACTAGTGGCTGTAAAAACTAAGTTTTACTGGTTACATTCATGACTACACACTCTAGTGAACAGGACCTTCATATGGTGTGTTTTTTTAAATCATACAGCATCCTTTCATGTGCTTTTCAGATGTCATATTGTTAATTACCAATTTTTGTTTAGCCAGATTTTTTTTTTAAAAAAGTGAAAAATAAATGTTATTGTGATCGCTTCATATACAGAAGCATTAATATACATTTCTATATTGTGTAAAGACACAACTACAAAGTTAAAAACCAAACACCAAAACAATGTGCCAGACAATCTACCTGTGCATGGCTAGTGTGATATAATAAGTCTACATATTATAAATGCAATAACCCACAGAAGATGGGCGAGATTTTTTTTTGCAAATGGAACTTTGATTCGAATTTACTACATCGGTCACTTGTAATATTGTTTCACACCTACAACACTTGTTACACAGATTGCACAGTGATAGAAAACAGATTGATATTTTCTACACTAGAAACTACAAGATAACAAGCTGCTATATTTAAAACAGTTATCAATAGTTAAGAGGTACTTAAACAATATTGTAATTCTGGGGCAATACCCTCACAAGTCAAACTGAGAGGTCAGTTTATAGGGAAAACTGTTGCCTGAATACAATTCTAAAAAAATTTCCATATGTCCTTTGCAGACTTTACATGCTGGAAAAAGACAGGTGCCAACTGCTGTGGATTTATGCAGTGTGCATACTGGCAAGGAGGGCAGGGTTGAGGAGTGGGTGGAAGATGATGTGGAGGATGATGAGGTCCTAGACTCCACATGGAATCAAGGTGATGCGAGTGAAGTGTGCAGTTTGGAGGAAGAGGCGCCGGTCACACAGAGGCACAAGCACAGCATTAGAGGGAGCAGGGTGCAAAAGCGGAGAGTCCGTCACCTAGCGCTCATCGGCATGTATTATCTTTAGAATTCCCACAGTTATCCAAGTAACAGTTGAAGCGATAAAAAGAACCAGAACAGATTTAAGGAGCCGTTCGCAGTTTCGCAGTTCGGTGACCGGGACCCAGAGACTGTCTGGGCGGCGGTCGGACGACCGGGACCCAGTATGCCTGATGTAGAAGTTAGGAGTCACAGTGTGGAATGGATTAGCAGGGTCTGGTGCGGGGTAACCACACGACCCCTGGTGTTGAGCACCAGCGCTTGTGTGGCCACATGCCAGGACCCTGATGCAGCTTCAATAAAAAAAAAATAGTACTGGATACCAGAAGCCATCACCAGACTTATCCGCAACTTGGAACAGGAAGTGACATTCACTGTAGCGACTGTGCGCGCTTTTGGCGTTCTCACCCTGCTGGAGCTCGCCTGTCTGCGCTGCAGCGTAACTTTGGCCTCCCGCTCACTGCCTCATATTTGACGTGCCCACAAGGTGGAACTCCACCTTGCACATGCTGGAGAGACTGTTTGAGCAGCAGCAGGCGATAGTGGAGTTTCAGCTGCAGCACGCATGGGTCAGTGGCTCTGCACCAGACTTGCCCTCCAATTGATCAGAGTTAAAGGATTTCAAGTGGACTCATTACAATTACAGGGCCTCTAAAGAGTCCTGTATTATTTGTCATCACTACCTTCCCGCGTCGGAAGTGGGTCATTTGCACGCCTGCTACCTTCCTTGCATGTGGTAGCCGTTTGTCAGGGTCCCTGTACGAAATTGAACCCTGATTCCCCGTTACCCGTGGTCACCATGGTAGGTTCAGTCAATGCCATCGAAAGTCGATATGGATTGACATACAATTGCGTCATTGCCTTCTCGTTGGGGAGCACATTAAAAAAGTGCTCTAGCATGACGAGCTGGGTGATCTCCTCCGGGAACTTGGCTTGATGGGAGTTGAGCCAGTTCTGGGTGGCCCTTGTGATGCCACGGTGTATAACCAGATATATCAGAGCTGCTGCAGAAAGTGCGGGCCGTCTGTGCGCGCTTTTGGCGTTCTCACCCTGCTGCTGTTTGCCTGTCTGCGCTGCAGCGTAACTTCGGCCTTCCTGCTCACCGCCTCATGAGACTGTGCGAGCAGCAGCAGGTGATAGTGGAGTTTCAGATGCAGCACGCACAGGTCAGTCGCTCTGCAGAACAGTTTTCTTTTTTATATGTCCCAATATTTGGGGAGCTATGCCAATTAAAATAAATATATATATATATATATATATATATATATATATATATATATATAAAACAGTGTTGGCTACCTCCTATACCTTCACCACTGCTTCCACCTACACTGCCACAGTCACCGCCTCCTCAACCTATGGGTCACTTAGTATAGACTATGTACACAATAGCAGAGGCTTGTGAAGGCCTTTTCTCCATGCATCAGGAGTTGAGCTCAGTTTGAACAATGAAAGAGAATACCCTGCACTCCAACCCTCTCAAATGGATAATTCTGCTGATCCTCCTGACAGCCATGCTTTAGATTTTGATTTATGTTCTTTCAAAGCTAAAATCAAAGATTCCATCTAGTGCTATTTTATGGCTCAGCTGTATGTTATTTTAAGTGATTTCCCTATCCACATTTGTTAGCATGGCACTTATCTTACACTTACCCCCATTTTACTTCCTTTTGCAGCCCTCTAGCCATTTCCAGGACTTTTTTAGAGGCATTTTTGTGGCCAAAAGTTTAGGTCTCCACTGACTTCAATGGGATTCGGGGTCAAGTTCGATCACGAACCCGGACTTTTTTTCAAAGTTCGGCCGAACCCACCGGACCCGAACATCCAGGTGTCCGCTCAACTCTACTCTCCATGTTTCATAGACTACAATACAAATCTGCGTGGACATGTTATATAATTTACTTAATTCAGACAAATCAATTATTCAGTGGTATATAATATCAATCACTTCCGCATACCATCCCATAAACCTCAGAAGCCCAAACTTTAAGGTATCTTTAATGTGCACACTCTCACAATTTTTCTTCACAATGTCGGGCCATGCCCATTATAGACCCCATTTGAGAATTTGGGGTCTTACTGTAAATATGAGTCACAATTTGCTGAATGGGGTAACATTTTTAACTGCACTGAACACTTTATTTGCACGCCACCTTAAACTCTTATTTGTGATACTGTCATACTTTGTGGCACCACAGAATTGTTTCTGAATATGTCACATGCCAAACTATACCATGTGATCCATTTACTTTATCTTGCTCTTTGATGTAAGTGACAAAGTCTTGAATGTTTATACGTTGTTGTTTTTTTTTTCATGCATATTTATATACTTATATATTTGTATACTTTTGAAAATTGGAAAATTCAATTGAAATTATAATAAACAAAATAATAATTGACCTCTTATGAATTGAGTTGTCCTGTACAAAGCCAAGCACAGTATTCCTATATTATAATTCCTGTTACATGCACATGATACATATTGTGGGTTCCACCGGAATTTGGGAGTAAAGCAGGAGGACAAAAGCCTTGTAAATAAAATGCAGATTCTCAAAAACAGATCATTAAATGAAGCACTACATGCAGGATTGGAGAATGCTGCATCATAATTGCCATCTCTGACATTTAGAAACATGAACAGATGTAAATAACACAGGGGACCCTGCTGTTATCCATCTGCCATAGATGGTGCCATGAGGAAAAGATTCCCCAGGTATCATCCTACAACAAAGAGCATGCTAGTAGCTTTCACCATACAAAAATATAAGAGCCTTTTTGAAACAGTATTTAACTGGCTGGGTGCTGGACAGAGCAGACATAAAATGAAAATAAAACCTGTGTAAGTTGTTTCAGCTTAAAGCAGTTTCCAGATATCTTATTTGTCACATTTCATTTTGATTTTTTTTTTTTGGCTTTTACTCATAATGCCTATAGCAACTTAGATTTAACAGCAGAGCATAAAAGTAGATTGAGTTTCCTTCCCCCTTAGGGCTCTCATTTAGATATGTTAGTCTAGTTTGTTGAGGCCACTCTAAAATAATTCCATTGATGCAGCAGCTTCCCAAAGGACAAGTTGGCAATTATGTCATATATTTGGCAAACTTACTGTCACAGAAGCCTGCTACTAAACAGAAGCTTTTTAACATGATGGCACACATATTCCCCAAATAAACTGATACTTAGTACTACAACTTCAGTGCTCTGTGAATTTCCCTTCAGGAAGCAAAGTCTGACATTGGAACTCAAAGATATCTGTGCTGTAATTTTTTGCTACTTTTTCTTGTTCTTCAACTGGTACTGCCACCTAGTAAAATTAAATTATTTATTCTGTAATTTCGGTCACTGTCATAAAAAGGTTAAGATTGACTGATTGTCAAGTACATTAGAATGCCTACAGGCCGTTATTAAGATGGTAGCTAGATAAAACCACAAATTAGAGGCAAACTATTATCAGAAACAAGAGGTTGATGAACACCCAGCTCAAAAGCTCACAATAACAGGAATGCTGAAGATCCAAAAATATTTAGAGGTGCACATGTATAGATATTTTTAATTGTGTGCTGCGGGCTAGTTACATACCCAGCACACAAAACTCTATTCTGGGCTGCCAATGTCAATTCTGTGCATATTTTTCCATTTGTTGTCAGCACGCACTGCATGCTGGCACCGACGTGCTGATCTTCCCCTTCCCACCCACTCCCTCACTTAGTGTGTATATATATTTAAAAAAAAATAAAAATAAATAAAAACACCCTTCCTATCCTTCACTCGGCTGCTCATAGTGTGCTGTGAACCGGGTAAATGTCCAATCACAGGCTGTGACTGGACCGTGCTTGGCCCCAGAGGGTGCACTGAATTCCATGCAAGTACCGGTAAATCTTGTTATTTTTCAGGTTACAGTGCCCAATAGGGCATTTTACATAGGAATAGTACCCCCCTCCAAAAGGGTGGGAGTAACCCTTTATGGAAGACTATGTTTATGAGGGGTTGGCGATTACTGTTTTTAAACTCCAGCCCTTTATCAAGTGGGCAGGTCCTTGTCTCCAACCCCTGGAGGTCCACCTATCCCCCTGTACCTGATCTATACTGACCATTGTTGGAATTGTGAGAATGACTTCACTAAACATATGATATACACAAAAGGAAATTGGTGTACACACAAAATTCAATTTAAACCTTTACAGGCAGTTAAAAGCACCTGTCTCAGCCTCTAGAAGCAGTTTAGACAGTGATAACTATACCATTAGGAATACAAATGTGTATTTCTAGCACTATAGTGCCCTAGCTTACTGGGCTCCCGCTTGCCAGGGTTAAAAAGGCGAGTTTACTTACTTTCTTTTCTGCTCATATTAAGAGATATTGAAAAACATGGTGTCTGTTAATCCTACAGAACAGTAGGTTGCATTTTGTTTTAGCTAATTCTCTTATCACAAAATGCCAGCTGCAACCAAAGAATTAATGTTCTATAAACACAAGGAAATTTGCAATAATGTAAGTTTTAACATTAGAAATCATTTTAAGTTACTTTTTTTAGTTTAGGTTTCACATTGTAAACTAATAAGTCCATACGGTGAAGTTGCACCAGGGCTCGCAAGACTGAACGAGACCATATTGATTTAAAATTTCATAGGAGAAAAAAAAAAAATGATAAAAACTAAATGTGCACTTTTGCACCTCTTTTCTATACAACTGTACAACTGAAAGATGGAAATTTGTAAACCAAAGAAAAAAACTAAATTAAACAGGAAAATAAAGTGACAGTAGAGGCACAATATTTTGGTGAAAATAGGAGGAAACAACCTGCCTTCTCCTTTAACTTTGAACTTGTGAACTATGCTTCCATCTTTGTGTATCCTGTTCCTTGTTTGTGATGATCTCTTCTCTTAACTTTGTGGACCATTCTTTTGACTTATCCTTGTTTCTAAAATGATGTCACTGTGTGCCAGGTGTCTGGTCGGGAAGGCATGCTGACCAATTCTGGGTGGAACCCAGAATGCAAAGAAGCCAATATACACACAAAGTAAGGCAAAAAATAAGTGTATTGATATTTATAAGAAAGATAGTTAAAATACAAGCACACATAATGTAGGAAAAGGGCATCTGGATACAGGGAACTCAGAAAAGAAAAGGCCTCTGGGTACAGGCAACTCAGAAAAGGAAAGACCTCTGACACAGGCAACTCAGAAAGCAAAGGCCTCTGGATACAGGCAACTCAGAAATAAAAAAAGACCAATGGATACAGGCAAATCAGAAAGCAAAGGCCTCTGGGTACAGGCAACTCAGAAAAGGAAAGGCCTCTGGATACAGGGAACACAGAAAATGCCTCTGAATACAGAGAATGCAGGCTAAACTGAATTATGACAATGTGATACTCCATAAACCCCTACCCAGTGAAGGTATTTCTAGTGTTCCAGCTCAAGCACAGCTGGTACTACTAATGAAGCCCTTCAGGGGGTAGAATAATCTTGACTGAAGAAGTCATAAATTGGCTTTTTCAGATGAATTTGGGGAAACTACTTGAAGCATTTGCTGTGTTGAGCTATTTCAAATGCTTTTATTTGATTTGTTCATTGAAAACAGCTGTACATTTTCTTAATAAACACGATTTCCCATGGGGGTTGAAAAGTTTTGATTACAACTGTATATAACACCCATAGTGTTATAGTGTGTGTGTGTGTATATATATATCTCATCCGAGACTTAGTCTTGAAAAAGTCCAAGTCGGACTAAAACATTGACTGCACCTTTACACAAATAAAGGATATATTGCACAAGACTACAAGCCCTCTGATTGCATTTCTCTGGGATGTTGTATTGGGGCACGAAATAGCACCAAGGCAAGAACAGGACAGTGACAGGAATGTGAGTGCCATGCCCATGTTGGATATATACATATAGAGCTATACATACATTA